ACAGATTGTTATGATCCTTTCAGGCTCTGAAGAAGGCGATTCCGCCGAAACGTCAGCCTAATAAAGGTTATTTAAAAACCTCGTGAAGAGTTCAAGACAACAACAAACTCATCTTGCGTATGATTTGAAAGTAGGACAGGTTTTACTATATCGTGGGGAAACTTTGCCAGTATTGCGTCACACCACATGGGGTCACAGGTTTTGCGCACCACCTGGTTAATTAATTTCTGGATTTGGTCGAAAACGGCTGAGCAACTGGCGAAGTTGTTTGCTGGTTTCAAGTTGGCCAGTCTTCGCGCCACCTGTGCCCTATTTGCAGGTTGGTTGCAGTAGTTTTCCTTTGTAATCTACTCGTAATTTTGTGGTATCAGCTTAATTCCTTTTATGGAGGCTTGTGCTCTACCCTTGAGACTTTTTTCAGTAGCAAGATTCTCTCCATAACTCTAATTCGTGAACGGGAGTCTCGGAAACTGCCCAGTATTCCTGGAAATTCTCAGCATTGCCATAAAATTTTGGTTGGGGAGGCTTTATTGAGCGACGTAGTCTCAGGTTATCGTTAGCCATCTCAAAGGTAGTTTGCACTAGACGTACCTTGTGAATGGTCACTTTCGCTATTTTGGGTTGCCTCGACGTGAATGTGGTCCTGCTCTTGATCAATTTGGTGATCTGGACCTTCACGTGAGGTATTTTGCAGTATTAGGGATCTCTGAGAAACGCAGCCGAGTTTTACACTCATTCGATCCCTTACGCACTTACATTCATCATAGCGTGCGCTTAAAATGAAGATAAGTTCATCTGCAGCGGCCAGTTCTTTGTGCAACTGCGACTCACTCCCGATTTGTTCGATTTCCAACATTATTTCCTTTTTGTCGGATTTATTTTTGCAATTGCTGTATTCTTCTCTAATCTCTTTGTGAAGTTTTGTGAGATTTTCTCTCCCTTCTTTGATTCGATTTATACCGCTTTGTATTATAGCAGCGAGGTTGTTTCTTTACACATCTCGTAGCTATCCTCATCTAATGCGGAATAGTCTACCTTTTTTGTGTATTTCGCCTAAACCTCTTAGCGTTTTTGCGCTGTTGATGAATGGAGTTTTGTGAAAGTGCGACGCCATTTTTTGCGCGATTTCCGAAGTGAAAAATAAGCTTCTGAGATAGAATAACTACAGGTGTTCCAGGTACGTGATACGTGAGTAAAGTTTCCCTGATATGGGGTGAATCAATTAAGATTCGCGGTCTCGAAAAGGACCGTAAAGATGTGCTCGTGAAAGAGCTGTCTTCGTTCCAGGCCCCAAGGTGTTACTCTCTGACGCAGAAAAATTGGCTGTTATGTCGATGCACCAGATAACCAGGAGAGACACGAGCGTGGGCGAGTTGACCGTTCCCAACGCTTAGCAGAATTGCAAGTACAAGAGTGAATGGTACAAGTAACAGTGCAGCCAGCACGAGCCTAATCCCGCGCTCAGTCCTCCCGAGAAGCCACTCGAGTGGTCAGCTATATGAGGGTCGTCGTCGACAACAGGTGGAACATCCTTTTTGCACATGCAAGCCCTTCACGGGCGGAGCCTAGTGTGAGTCATGCGTTTCCAGGTCGTTTGGTTGGTCACTTACTTACTTCAACCAGGCTGAACTATTCCAGTTTAGTTTTGGAAGGGCGGCATTTGAGGCGGTGGCGAACAGAAGCAGACAAACGGACATTTATGGTTAAATATAGTAAGATGGCGCACTTCGCCTCCTTGAATCGGGTTCACTCTTTGCCAAAGAGGGAGTTAACACGATTTTTTGCAAAGAAAGCATGAAGTAGAAGCAAGAAGAAGCTGCGTTTCATGAGAAATGTGATCGCGATAGGTAGATAAGGGAGTGAATCTACAAAGAAAGAAAATGACGTTGGCGGTGTTATAACCTGACCTGCGCATGTAAGGTGAAAACATGCGCAGGTGCGAAGCTGCCCTGTATCTATGCACCTATCTTTAGATACATAGAACTCTATTATCACGGTAGAGAATTTCTGGGGTCTATGATGGGTTTTAAACCATTGAGCTCCGCAGGCTAATGACAAAGACTAACAACAAAGAACGCATCAGAGATGAATTTTCTGATCTGAGCTTCAGCGCTGAAAAATTTGGCTGCAGGCAGCGGAGGGCTATGAGATCATGCAGGAAGTTCGAAAACGCTCCGCTCACCGCGGATAAACCTTATTCAACTGACTTGTTGAACCATCTCTAACTTTTGTCCACTTTTTCCCGTGAGCTTCTCTGAGACATAATTATGCAGTTCTTATTGCACCACCCACTCAGGTGCATGTCCTGCCTCTGTGATTGGACTCTCCGGAACCCACATGTGCTTTATTGATCTTGCCTCATGCTTCTCCAAGTAGTACCAAACTTCGGGCAGAGAGATAGAAGCGAGTTCTCCACGTATAATAAGTAATGATGATGTTTCCATAAGTAGTAAGTAATAATTATGACTTCACATATAGAACGATTATGGAACATTACGAACGTCTATAGACAGAAATGGATTTTTAATTCTAGCCCACACACCTCAGTGTGAGCTCTGCTCACTTTGGGTAAGTAAGCACCTCTCTTCAACACCAACAGTCGTTATGCACTTTTGCACTCGGATTTTTTTTTTAAAAAAAAGAAAAGAAATTTTTTTTTAGAAAATATTTGAGCAGGGTTATGGGCGTTTGATCATGGCCCCGCCCAAAACAGTGCAAACCTCGCTCACCGTGATAATTTGTCCTCCACTCTTTGAGCTGCCCTTACCCATTTTCTTCGCACCCTAGAATGTGATTAATAGAGTTATAAGTTTTTATTCTTGGCCTCACTCACTATACGAGTTCGACCACAATCCTTCTGTGGCCTTTGACCACTTCTTTCTTCGCACTCTAGGATATTATTGAACAGAGTTATGGATTTTTGATCTTGGCCTCGTCTCCCCACTGCACCCCGCCCACTTTAGAGGCACAGTTCACGATAATTTAATGGGCGGGGACGTCAATGGCCTTCCCGCCTCTCCATCGATACAATCATCCACGTCAGACGTCTGAGATGAGTGTCGAGACAATGCAGTTTGCAAATTTTCGTTCTAGATTAGACGAGTGTCGAGAGAATACAGATTGCTATTATTCGTTCTAGAACAACGCACAATCAGCTAATCGCCGAGTGATGAGGCGATGTTTTTCTCCCATTCTTTTTTCCTCTGCTATACTTCTTGCTGCCGCGATCCCCTATCTAATTTCCTACTCACAGAGGCTGAAAAGGGTGAGCTACGTTTGCTGTTACTAGGGGTTTTTTGTTTACTTATGCTTATAAGTGAATGAATTTTCGCTTACCATTGTCTTTTATTCGCACCAGGACCCGTACGCAGTGAGACACATTGTATAGCTCGACCAAACGCCCCACTCTTCTTCATTTTCCTGAACTCATTCTCGTCCAGCCCCCTGTTTAACGGTTTTTAAAGCCCTTTTTCAGTTTGGAAACACCGATTCACGCAGTTTCTCCATCTTCCTCGCACTATTTTCGATCTTGTCGTCCATTTCTCATCATAATCTGGACTACCCAGAATTATCGTGAACTGTGCCTTTCAGGGGTTTGATAGCATTGTTCAATTACCTCCAACCGTTTTTCCGCAAACTAATGCGTTTTTGAACGAAGTTACACATATCTTAGGAAGTACCCTAGGTTCGAATGCACTTCCCGCTCAACACTAGCGGAGCTTTGCTACGTTCTTTGATGCTCAGCACACATCAGACTTTGTTCATTCATTCTGTGATTTTAGGCTCCACGCTTTCGCTGAATCATGTTATGAACTTATGTAGAAAATGTCGCTCACTGTGAGGACGCTTCTTCCTACGCGAGAGGGTCTCCTTTTGCCGGTCACTGCGAGGGCGCTTCTTCCTACGCGAAAGGGTCTTACGAAAACAAATTCAGAAGTTTTGCCCATGGGACCACCCACTACTGTGCATACCACGCCCCAGTGGGCGGAGCTTCGCTTAGCTCACATGTGCTCATTCATCTTGCCCTATGCACAACCCCTTTCAAACTTGACCCGACCTCTCCAGGTGCTACAGGCAACATCCGATTTCGTCGTAGACAAACAAATAGACAAAAAGACAGATGCGAGCGCTTTCTATGTAGTATGAATAGTCGAATCTACTGTTTTCAAATCGGTAAGTTGAGGTGCTTAAACTTTTGGTTCTTTTTCTAATTTTTTAAATATCATAGGCAGAGCTTGGGAATGTGTTCCATGTTATAAATTAGGAGAAAGATAATGAAGTGGATATCTTTCATGATACGCTACACAATCATTTTTGATTTAATGAGAAATAGCAGTACAGCGCAGTACAGTGAGCGCGTCTCACCAAGTTGTGGTCGTTGCAGTTGCTGGCAAAAATTATACATACGTACATACATTTTTTGTTAACACGTTACGTACCGGCGCCCTCTGCTATTTTCCTACGCGCGTGGCCAAGCGATTTTTTTTCAGCTCGCGGCGTGCACCACCATGTGATGCACTTGGCCACACGAAACGGTTTTTTCTAACATTGTGAATTCTCTACTATTGGAATCCGGTTCTTTACTATAATGTTTTCGCATATGGAGAACAACATATCTGTCCAACACTCTCCGATTTAAGAGATATTTTGTTGGACAACTGTGCGTGCCAAACTTAAATCTAATACCATCTACTTAGTGCTAAATCTTGCGATAACAACTCCAAGCGGCCGAAGTTTCTTGACTTCATAGTGTTCCGATCAGGCGAATGGTGCGCTTCTTTCCACATATCGACTTTGTGTCCCCTCGTCTCATTCCAGGAGAGCAACTTTAAGTCCAATGAAGTTCTGTTATCGATTCTGGTAGTATTCCAGATGGAAGCTTTGGAGAACTCATTCGTGCAACTGCTTATTGATAGCGATGAAGAAGCAGACAATGAAGATGTTTCAGGAGCTCCTGATGGTTTGCTCGCTGATGCCGTTGAATCAAGTGATGATGAAGATAGTGAAGGGAAGTCTGACGCCGGTTGGTCCTCAACCATAGTTCAACCAAGTGTAGTACCTTTTACCGAACATAGTTGAATCCAAAACGACGGTGTCTATGCATTCAGCAATCCAATGAGTTTCTAAATGTTATTCATGACAGACGAATTGGTGAAACTCATGAATGAAGAATCGAACCGTTGTGGGTCCACCAAGTATTCGACTTGGTCTGTGCTCGAAGAGCAGGGATTCTATTCTACAACTTCTTAGCCATTTGTTTTCATATGAACACCGAGAAGAGGTCTAGTCTCAAAGAATACTGGTCCAAAAGAATTATATGCAGCGGATCTTTCGTAGCCAAACTGGCGACAAGAAACCGTTTCATTGAGATTTTGAACTCTCTCCACCTCTTCGACAACGATACCTCGGACAAGAGCAATCGACTCTACAAGGTGCAGCCTGCTATTGATTTGATGAACAAAGCGTTTTGTGATGAGTTCACAAGAATACGAAAGTAATGCTACAATTGAATTTGTTAGTGACGTTAGATTCGTGATTAAAATTATAATGTATAGACGCCCCATATTTTTTCAGCTGTTGGAGTCCCAAGCGGATATGTTGTTCAGCATGTTCGAAAACATACGTTTGAGAATTTTGACTAATGTTGCTTCATAAAGAAAGTAGAAATTTGGGTGTGAATTTCATGCATCACCATGTGAAGCACTCGGTACGCAATGTGTTAATATACGATTCCCAAATCTTGAATGAAGGCCACGTGTGTGGCGTGTTCTACCGCCATTAATGAATTGATTGTTGGTAAAAAGTAATTTAATGAGACTCGAGTTTTATCTTCCGATGGCATTTAGCCACACATTTGTTTACCGCCGGTATAATAAGATGAGGAAGTGTGAGACAAATTTTGACCCGATTTTTCTTTACCCCTTCTCATTTCCAGTTATAACGTTGTTCAATCAGTCAGTTCAGCTGGAGGAGAAAAAGGTTGTAGATGGTACTCTACGCGCGTTTTTTTTTCTGAGAACCGGTCAACTCATAAAAATCTACTGACCAGGGCGTAGACCTCTGCTCATGGGATCCGTGGAGTAGCCGAGTTTCATTGAAAGAGAAAAGGATCGTTCCGCAAGGATTCGCCTCGATCATGTAGTGTAGCCGATTCAGTTCAAAGCAGATGGCCTTCTTGGGCGAAGTTTGTTCTCCAAGTAGTGAATGCCTGAGAGAAACGGCACCATTTTGCCACCGTGCGACGGGAGACAACATCAGGACCTAACGCGGAGCAGATATTGTGGGTGGCTTCGACTTCGTTATGCCCCAGTTGGAAGAACAGCGTAGCGTGATAGAGGTTTGATTTTTCCTATCAATTCCAGAATATACCTAGGGAAAAGCAGACGAAGCTATGGCAGACGTAAACAACATTTCAGAGAGATTTTGCAATGTGCACTGCAGTGCCCCTATACTTGACCATAAGATCGATACAAAAATTTTTTCGCGAGACCCAAAAGATTGGCACGAACTCTGAGGAAGACCTAACAGTAGATGAAACTGGATTGAAATATGCAGGTTATGATACAGTCGAATACGGTAGGATTAAAGTGGCAGAGCTTCTTATCCTGGTTTAGATGGCACTGATATGTAAGATGGAAGAAACAGATTTTCTCCTTGACTCCACTCCTAGACTGCCATTTCTAATAGATTTTGGCTCCTCACACTTTGAAGAGACCTGGCTTTTCTACTTTTGAGAGCCACTAACCATTCCTTACTCAAGGTTGCTCAGCGAGTGAGTCTCTTCTGCCTGATTTGTTTACTCATTCATCACCTTTGCTCTCTTTTTTCAACGTTTGATTTCTAAAACAAAATGAGGAAGGTTTGATGTTTGCAATGCCCATTCCGACGTTTGTCCATTGGCCATTGTGGGCGGAGCTTCGCTAGGATCATATGAGCTCCGTTGATCTTGTCCTAGCCTTCACCCAACCCACTGTTCGCAAAAAACAAACATACATACATACCATACATACCATACACATATCACACATACATACCATACATACACGGGTGTGGTGCGATTCACACGTCAATTTAGTGAGGTCATCGAACAAAACGCGCTAAAACATCATGCCCATCATCATAATGGACGAAATAAGAACTGATAAGTAAAATAAGTAAAGAAATGACAAACTATGCACGTTTACAGGAAAAATGTGTTTTCTAGGATAAAAAAATACGAAGTTATTCTTATTTTAAACGTTTAACAAGTAAATTGTTGAACTACGGAGTGAATTCTTATTCTCAAAGACTCTTTATTGTCATAGCAAAGAGATTTGCTCTAATTCATGGTGAAGCCGTGGATAACTGCAAATCTTATAAGTGTCCACGTTCGACTCTCGATAAGTCTTGGCATAGCCTTGCATTAATTTTATAAGATTGTAATAAAACCTGTTGCCAAGATGGTAAATAAATTCTCATCAACTTACGTTTCGACGTTATCGCCTTCTTCAGAATTGGAAATCTAAAGATATCACTATCCATCCCTCATTCAACAATTTAACTTCAAAAACCGGTTCCCTAGACCTAATATTTCCAAATGGGCATGATAACCCTTAAAACATTTAACCCACCTCCAACAACAACCGGTCATTTAGACGACCATATACCATAACTAGCGTACCATCAGTGAGGACTCGAATAGCCATTTGTCAAGGATGGATAGCGACTATCTTTAGGTTTCCAACTCTGAAG